TTAACTTCGGACGGTTTTCCCTGAGATTCATTTTCTACCCAGCTTAATTTCGAACAATGAAAGAAGAAAACGTGACATTTGTTTACCCACGATGAAATTCAGATCAGAAATACCAGCTTGTTTCTTTTAAAAATTGTATCATGTCCTGGAAGAGTGGTAAAAGGTACAGTGCAAGTAGTTTTCCCAACGTTTCTGATTTTACCAGTAAATCACAAGCTTTCGATTCGAGGAATACGAAATTGTTGAAGGGTTCACAAATTTTCGTTTTTACTCTTGCATTCCAGATCCGAGAACAAAACTCGATTTTCTTCCTGATTTTTATATGAACGAGAAATTTTTTCCTTCAGGTAAACGCAAGCGTGTTTCTCTGAACGTAAAACACGCTTTTATTATTTAAAAAAAAGGGTCAAGGGTTAAATATCTTCACAATCTTGAAGATTATCTCAGAACCGTGGAAGTAATTTTTTCTCGGATTATTTCACGTTTTTTAACCAATGCCTCTTATTCGCAAGGCAGAAGCTAACTTATAAGTTGGTTTCAAAATCGAAGAATAAACATAACTATGACCAAACATGGATGAAATCCCTGCATCCATTTCAACTCCGTATGAACAGACAAATTTGTATTTCCGGAAAAAACGGTATGATATTATGATATAAATCGGAAGCTTTTTTTTAGTTCAGGGGTTCATAACTCATTATAACAACATTTTGTTTCGCTTTAGATTTTTCTTCATTTCGGAGTGCGTTGCTCGCAACCGGAAACGTTTATGCTGCACTCTATTCCCCACTATGAATTGCAAATCTGAAAGCTTTCTTTGAAAACCCGTGAATTTCACCCGTTTTGGACAATTAATTACACCTTTTCCCCTGGATTCATCATCACAAGTTCATCTGCGCGGAACGTGCTTGTATTTTCTGAAATATTGTAGGTTACTCTTCGAACAATTGAAAGAAACGCTGGGGTGAGAGAAACATCGTTGCCAAATTTTTTTTTCTGTAGCTGCTGTGCTCAAGCCGAATGGGAGACACAATTTTTGATAAATCAATCAGTTCATTGCCAAAAATGATATACGGTACTCGCATAAAAACGAAAGCTATCGACTTGCATTCGCAAACACTTTATTTTTCCTCATCTCTTCCTGTGTGTGTGTCGTATTTGGTAACTAAAGACCCGTTTGTTGGAAAAGTGGGCGAACATTGAGTCAAGCATTTGGCTCTGATAATCCGCAATAAGTTTGTTACCGAGTTTCTGAGATTCGAGTTTCAAAGTTGATTAAGGGATTTTTCAAATTGCGTGATGGCCGAAAAAAAGATTTTCTTCAAACACTTTTTTTTTCAAGAGATTGATCTTCAAAGTGCTGGTTTTCTTTCTTGGATCAGCTGCCTCCTTTGATTAGTTTTTTTTTTTTTATATCTCATCACTCCTTCATTATTTGCGGATTGAGAGCCAAATTTTGAACGTGCTCAAGTGAGTTTACTTTTTGCTTCTTCGGGTGGTGCTATTAAGAAAAGGAGTACCTGGTCTCATGTGATTTTGCGGTAATTGTGGACAAAGAAGGAAACTACTGTAATCCCGAACTCGCGATAGGCACAGGTGCTTCTTTTTTTCCTTTGTTGCTGCTATTTTCCCCGGCGTTTCTTCGTCACGTTTGAGCTTCTAGGTGGCTTCTAAATCTCTGACAATGGAAAACTTTCCTAAAATACGCACCTAACGGTAAGCCCCTTCCTCTCGCTCTCTTTCTGCGCGAGCCTCGCTGTCTTATTATTTACAAACAAAAAGATACTTTTCCAAAGAGCAAAAAATAGTGGAAACTGAGGATCCGACAGGTGGCTGCTGAGCTGGTACTGCTTACGATATTTTCCACGGCTCAATCTAAAGTTGTGTTGTATTTGCGCTAGAAGGAAAAAAAAATGAGTTGATCGTTCTAGAACATCTGAGAACTTTGGCCTTTCTTTGACCCGTATACGAAAATGACGCGAGAGGTGGACGAAAAATGTACAGCATCTCAACTTGAATGAAAATAAAGAGGAAACTTTTTTTTTTCAGATGAACCAAGCATGTAAGGAAATATTTTTCGAAGAAGCTATGAGAAATAAAATTATTTCTGAGTGTCTTCATTCGACTTCTCTCATTTTTCCCCATAGTGTCTGAAGATGAAATGCTTCCTTTTAAGTCATCAGTGGAGCAAGAAAAGTATGCCGAAGAATATTCCCCAAACGATTCAAACTGAAGTTTTCGAAAAATTCAGAAGGAAAAAGAAACGTTGAAAATGTGTACATTTTAATATTATCATAAGGTTTATGGTTAAAATTCACGTGAGCAGCTCAAAATTTGAAGAAAATAAAACCAGCGAGAATGCGATTTTTTGGGAGATATTGGAGAAAATTTGGGAGATACTGGAGAATTATATCTTAGGGTTCGTCATCTAAGAATTTTTCGTATCTGGTCAAGAGAAAGAGGAAATCTTAGGTTACTATGAAGAACCTTTTTACGAACTCGTTGAAACCCTAGAAAAAATACTTAAATTCTCTGAAAACACTTTTGCGGACAGTAGAAATGAAACTATACAATGTACAATTGGACAAATCTGATTATCCATGAGAATTATCCATTCACTGCTTTTATATACACCCTGATGTAAGATACCACTTCAGGTTGTCGAACAAATTGTTCGTCGTTAGCAGCCTTTTCGGCTCAATTTATTACTGAACTACACTGAATTTTTAATTTTACTTTTCGGTCAATTTGACGAGTAGTCACAATTGAACAGATGTCATATGTTCAGCAGTGATGAACGTCGTTTAAAAATGACTTTGAAATACAGTAATTAAATGTATTTTGTGTTCAAGTGAAAGAAAAAACCACTTTTTTGTCATTCGCCAAGTTTTCTTCACATGGTGCACCTCTCAAAAATCCTGTCACTCGAAGATTCGCGTCCATTTGTCGTTATTTTGAACAGCTAACGGGTTATGAGCTGTCCTAAGCACTCGTCTCTATGGGTGCCTAGTTAGGCAACTGGTCGTAGTACGTCCTTGTCTATCACTAAGACTGAGGCCAATAGTAAGAAACTAAAAGAACCAGGCATTTTCTTCTTTATCGCCGAGGAAGATCGTAACTACTGCAGTTAGAACGCGCTCTTAATTGATTTCTTGGCACTTCCTCGACGGCCGTTTTTAACGGGTCGTTAATTTTAAGCATTAGTCACGCCGTTTTCGGGCAGCGAAAGCGTGCAGAGTTTAATCAAGTAATGGAACTCAAGTCCGGGAAGAAAAAGCGGAGGTATTTAAGTGCCCGACGTGAAGTTTGAGCGCGTCTCAAAAACGGAGCGTTCCAAAACAGCGCGCAACAAAATAGCAC